CGCGCACAACGCCTTTTGCCCCACCCCCCCCCTCCCCCCCCTTCCACAAACTTTGGGCAGGGACACCACTCCTAACCCCTGGCTAAGACTACTCCATGGACCCAACCTCCATGACTTGATCTCACTTCTCTTTAAACTCTGTTCTAGTTGTAGCCTTCACAGCCTCCTGCAGCAAGGAGTTCCACAGGTTAACTATTTGCTTTGTCAAGAACAACTTTCTCTTACTAGTTGCAAGCCTGCTACCCATTCCTTTCCTTTGGTGTCCTCTAGTCCTTCTTTTTGGGAACTCATGAAGAACTTTTCTGAATGCCCCCTCTCCCCCCAACCCGCTCCTGCCCCCTCCCTCCTGCCCCGCCCCAACCCGCTCCTGCCCCCTCCCTCCTGCCCTGCCCCAACCCGCTCCTGCTCCCTCCCTCCCATCCAGATCCCACACCCCATGCCTGCTTCCCAACAGCCACCTCCCACAGCCTGAATCCCTCATTTTTAGCCCCACCGCAGACCTAGGGGGGCCCACAATATCGACTAGCCTGGGCCCTCCCGGGCTCTGTGTTCAAGGGCAACGTCTTTCTGCTTCTCAGTTGGGAGCCACGTCAGTGAACTGGTTTTTGTTGTTTTTGCTTCTCGCTTGTGTGCGGCCCCCGACTGACCTGTGGGTCGGCCGTAGCCCCCTGACCCAGCCCTGATTAAGGCTCAGACACAGCCTTGCCCTGCAGGTGTGGGAGAGGTTATGACTGCCTGGCTTTTGGCCGTCCTTCCAGTGCCTCTTGCGGGTGTGCACGTTCCCACTGGCCTCACAAGCATGGGGCTCTGCGTTCCAGATCATAATGCACGTGCACTTTTTGTGCGTCAAATAAGGAAGAGGGGACCAGTCCCTGGCGTCCGGGATATTCACGTCCTTGGGAGAGGGTCAGGTACAGTCCTTTGTAACCTGGCAAGTTACAGGGCAAGCAGAGAAAGTTCTCAAACACACTTCTGCGCAGCGCAGCTTTCTCGCCCTAAGGAGAAAGTGCTGAAGCCAGCGGTCCCTTCCCAAAAAGGCTGAAAGGTTTATGGCACAGCCAGCCACTTAGGCAACGCTTCTCCCGTCCGAGAGGCACTGGATAGCTCTTTGGCTCGGCTGTATTTCAAACGCTACTGCCTCTCTCTCTTCTTCAGGCAGCCAAACAAAAAAAAAAAGAAAAAGGTTTGGTGAGCGCAGGAATAGTTCTGCAGAGCAAGGCAGCAGCTACCCCGTAACGCCCCTGCCTCGTGCTGACACAAAGCAACTGCTTTCTTGCTCAGTAAAAACAAGTCAACATTCGCAGCAAAACCAAGAAAGCAAAACCACAAGTGACCTAACACTTCTGAGTCATTGCCCCTGCCTGGCACACTGGAATCGTCTTCTCAAGCACTCTGCCACCTGGAGCCAGCCTAGAACTGCTGAGCAGCGAATCTTTAGTCTGGTTGAAACCCCCGCATAATTACACTCCACCCGGGCCCAGATGGCAGGAGCCTTCCCCCGCACACAACCCAACCACCCCTAAGCGCCAGTGACTAAGGGCTTGCGAGCAGAGACCCACCCTCCACCCCGGGCTGGGGGAAACCTTGCAAAACAATTTCTTTTTTTCCCTTTTTTTGGCCAGACAAACTGTGCACTCTCTGCATTGGCAGAGCACTCGGATAACGGAGCCAATCCCTGAGCCCTCAAAGGTCAGTAGGAAGACTCAGGCTTTGGATCAGACTCAGGCTGAACAAGAGAGCTCCTTCGGGAAAGCCATGGGGAAGTGCTTTTCCCCGGGTACTGTCTCGGGATGTCAACACGACGGGTTTGCCGCAAATGCCAAGAGGTGGCTAACGATGCCGAAGCCTTTAACGTTGCCTGATTGCTGCTTGTAATTTACTGTAAGTGAACGCACAGGCCTTTCGCTCTGGAAAGTATTTTCCAACAGGTCACATTTGGCAGCAATCTGTCAGGCAGGAGAAGCCCTACAATAATTCAGCTGCACTTTAAGTTGCGGGCTTTTCTGATTGGACTGCAGGCCCGAGGTATTGATAGGAGCTTCTTGAAAGAGCAGAACCCTCTGACTTGTTCACGCGGGGGTCCGACTGGGGTGAGCCACAGGGGTCTCTCTCTAAATCTGAAACCCGGGGCAGAGAAGCCTCCTCCCACCATAGCTTGCACATCAGTTGCTGTCAGCTTCCTACCTACAGGGTTAGTTTGCAATGGGCAAATGTTTTAAAGATGGGGAAACTGAGGCAAGGGGCAGTTTTTCAGAAGAGCTCAGGTGCAGGTTTTTTAAGAGCCCAGCCCCCTCAATTGGGCCACGTTTTGAAGTGCTTGGCTCCCCCTCCCCCCCCATCCCTATGGCACTCCTGGCCAAATGTTGGTTGTTTGGCTGTTGCGCTTTTCTGAAACTCTCCTGACTTCATCTTCTGCAAAAGGCCAGAGTTCCCCAGCATCTCTGCCCGTCAGCTCAGCCCCAAGGAGACGGGCTCGGGGGTAAGGAAACGGGCTGGGGGGACGCGCAGAGCCCAACGCTCCTAACGGGCGGCGCAGCACGAGACACGTTGCCAGGACTCAGTTTCGCCAACTGAAAACGTGAGCTCCCGGACACTCCCGTGCCTGCGCCCGGCAGGGCTCGTGGGGACGCGCGTTTGCGCGGGGTTTGGAGGGTGTGAAGCTCCCTGATAATAAGGCCTTAACATCAGCAAAGGCGGCTTAACTATTTGCTTTGTCAAGAACAACTTTCTCTTACTAGTTGCAAGCCTGCTACCCATTCCTTTCCTTTGGTGTCCTCTAGTCCTTCTTTTTGGGAACTCATGAAGAACTTTTCTGAATGCCCCCTCTCCCCCCAACCCGCTCCTGCCCCCTCCCTCCTGCCCCGCCCCAACCCGCTCCTGCCCCCTCCCTCCTGCCCTGCCCCAACCCGCTCCTGCTCCCTCCCTCCCATCCAGATCCCACACCCCATGCCTGCTTCCCAACAGCCACCTCCCACAGCCTGAATCCCTCATTTTTAGCCCCACCGCAGACCTAGGGGGGCCCACAATATCGACTAGCCTGGGCCCTCCCGGGCTCTGTGTTCAAGGGCAACGTCTTTCTGCTTCTCAGTTGGGAGCCACGTCAGTGAACTGGTTTTTGTTGTTTTTGCTTCTCGCTTGTGTGCGGCCCCCGACTGACCTGTGGGTCGGCCGTAGCCCCCTGACCCAGCCCTGATTAAGGCTCAGACACAGCCTTGCCCTGCAGGTGTGGGAGAGGTTATGACTGCCTGGCTTTTGGCCGTCCTTCCAGTGCCTCTTGCGGGTGTGCACGTTCCCACTGGCCTCACAAGCATGGGGCTCTGCGTTCCAGATCATAATGCACGTGCACTTTTTGTGCGTCAAATAAGGAAGAGGGGACCAGTCCCTGGCGTCCGGGATATTCACGTCCTTGGGAGAGGGTCAGGTACAGTCCTTTGTAACCTGGCAAGTTACAGGGCAAGCAGAGAAAGTTCTCAAACACACTTCTGCGCAGCGCAGCTTTCTCGCCCTAAGGAGAAAGTGCTGAAGCCAGCGGTCCCTTCCCAAAAAGGCTGAAAGGTTTATGGCACAGCCAGCCACTTAGGCAACGCTTCTCCCGTCCGAGAGGCACTGGATAGCTCTTTGGCTCGGCTGTATTTCAAACGCTACTGCCTCTCTCTCTTCTTCAGGCAGCCAAACAAAAAAAAAAAGAAAAAGGTTTGGTGAGCGCAGGAATAGTTCTGCAGAGCAAGGCAGCAGCTACCCCGTAACGCCCCTGCCTCGTGCTGACACAAAGCAACTGCTTTCTTGCTCAGTAAAAACAAGTCAACATTCGCAGCAAAACCAAGAAAGCAAAACCACAAGTGACCTAACACTTCTGAGTCATTGCCCCTGCCTGGCACACTGGAATCGTCTTCTCAAGCACTCTGCCACCTGGAGCCAGCCTAGAACTGCTGAGCAGCGAATCTTTAGTCTGGTTGAAACCCCCGCATAATTACACTCCACCCGGGCCCAGATGGCAGGAGCCTTCCCCCGCACACAACCCAACCACCCCTAAGCGCCAGTGACTAAGGGCTTGCGAGCAGAGACCCACCCTCCACCCCGGGCTGGGGGAAACCTTGCAAAACAATTTCTTTTTTTCCCTTTTTTTGGCCAGACAAACTGTGCACTCTCTGCATTGGCAGAGCACTCGGATAACGGAGCCAATCCCTGAGCCCTCAAAGGTCAGTAGGAAGACTCAGGCTTTGGATCAGACTCAGGCTGAACAAGAGAGCTCCTTCGGGAAAGCCATGGGGAAGTGCTTTTCCCCGGGTACTGTCTCGGGATGTCAACACGACGGGTTTGCCGCAAATGCCAAGAGGTGGCTAACGATGCCGAAGCCTTTAACGTTGCCTGATTGCTGCTTGTAATTTACTGTAAGTGAACGCACAGGCCTTTCGCTCTGGAAAGTATTTTCCAACAGGTCACATTTGGCAGCAATCTGTCAGGCAGGAGAAGCCCTACAATAATTCAGCTGCACTTTAAGTTGCGGGCTTTTCTGATTGGACTGCAGGCCCGAGGTATTGATAGGAGCTTCTTGAAAGAGCAGAACCCTCTGACTTGTTCACGCGGGGGTCCGACTGGGGTGAGCCACAGGGGTCTCTCTCTAAATCTGAAACCCGGGGCAGAGAAGCCTCCTCCCACCATAGCTTGCACATCAGTTGCTGTCAGCTTCCTACCTACAGGGTTAGTTTGCAATGGGCAAATGTTTTAAAGATGGGGAAACTGAGGCAAGGGGCAGTTTTTCAGAAGAGCTCAGGTGCAGGTTTTTTAAGAGCCCAGCCCCCTCAATTGGGCCACGTTTTGAAGTGCTTGGCTCCCCCTCCCCCCCCATCCCTATGGCACTCCTGGCCAAATGTTGGTTGTTTGGCTGTTGCGCTTTTCTGAAACTCTCCTGACTTCATCTTCTGCAAAAGGCCAGAGTTCCCCAGCATCTCTGCCCGTCAGCTCAGCCCCAAGGAGACGGGCTCGGGGGTAAGGAAACGGGCTGGGGGGACGCGCAGAGCCCAACGCTCCTAACGGGCGGCGCAGCACGAGACACGTTGCCAGGACTCAGTTTCGCCAACTGAAAACGTGAGCTCCCGGACACTCCCGTGCCTGCGCCCGGCAGGGCTCGTGGGGACGCGCGTTTGCGCGGGGTTTGGAGGGTGTGAAGCTCCCTGATAATAAGGCCTTAACATCAGCAAAGGCGGCGAGCAATAGAGTCCTGGGTGGGTCTCATGGAAAAGGAGGACTTCAAAGGACGAAATCCCGGTGGCAACTCGAACAGCCACCTGCGCCGGGCGTGTCTCGGCCTTCACTCGGTCCAACAGTGCTTGGCCTCTTGCACGCCGAGAGGCACCCTGCAAAGGCAGGTGAGGTGTTCTTCCCTGGAGTAAGCCCAGGGCCCAAGAGGATGGTGAGCTGGGTAGAACGGCTGTGCGAATTCTACCCCCGAAGCCTGTGTCTGTGCGTCTCCTTGTGCTGCGGGTGTCCGGAGGCCGGAGTCTCTCCTCCACTGACCACTCTCCAGCGATGGCCAAGAAGAGTAGGGGGACACTCCCCAGCTGAACGACAAACGGGCCCCTGGCTGATCGGGAACTCGGAGGACTTGAGGTGCTTTGCAAGGCCCCTGGGACACGATGCTGTACTTCTAGAGGCCTGATGGACCGCCTCCTTTCACCTCCCTTTGCTGCCACTCGGATCCTCCCGCTCGGGCAAGACACAGCCAGGGGGCCCACAGTCCAAGGCAGACCTGTTCAAAGCTATGCGGGGAAGCCGTGTTGGCCTCGTCTAGAGCAGGGAGGTTTTTAAGAGCAGGTGAGACCAACACCTGTCGGGAATGGTCCACGTTAGGAGGTAGCCCTGCCGCGGGGGCGGGGGACTGAACGAGGTGACTTGCTGTCGTCCCTTCCACTCCAACACCTCCATGGTGCTATGGTTTCCAAACACTTGTTTTAAATAAAAGGGCTCTCTGCTCACATGGGCATGTAACGCAGAGCAGCTGAAACCTTCCTGAACTCCTGGTTCAAGACAGCTTCCTAAACGGAGTACATCCAAGTGGTGACAGGCCCTGGAGCAGCATCACAAAAACTCCATGACTCCTGACTCTATGAACTGGTCTCTGGCTATGGGCTTTCCATGGAAAGCCCTGACATGCTCTGGTCATGGGCAGCAGCACAAACCCTTCGCACACGGACCCCCCGACCTATTGAGGGCAGTAGGAGTTTTGGCATTCATTTCCAGAGTTCCATGCCAGGTTCCCAAGATGGGCAGAGCAGCAAGCCAGCATCCCTGCCTGACTCCAGAAAGCACCAGACTCAAAGCCCTTGCAAGCCTGAGAGGGGCGCAAAGTCTCTAGAAAGAGAAACTCCGGCACTAGAGCCGAGGCTGGATCTCTTCAGTAGGAAAGGAGGGCAGGGTTAATCATGGTCTGGAGAGACAGATTCCAGACGGTGCCCGACTGTCAAGGAGAACGGCCCGTTTCCAGCCCGGGTCCCAACGAGAGCTGTGAGCAGCATGTCCCAGGGGGAAACTCGCCCCACAAACATCCATGCCTGGCGAGAGGATGCAAGATGACTCAATTTATGATGGGGACTAAAAATAGCTACAACTACTCAAGAGAGATCTTGGAGTCACTGTGGATAGATCTCTGCAAACATCCACTCAGCGTGCAGGGGCCATCAAACACACACACAGAACATTAGGAGTCATTTAAAAAAGGATTAGAGAATAAGACAGAAAATATCTTACTGCCTCTATATAAACCCATGGGATGCCCACATCTTGAATACTGCGTACAGATGTGGCCGCCTCATCTCAAAAAAGATCTATTGGCATTGGAAATGGTTCCGAAAAAGGCAACTAAAATGATGAGGGGTTTGGAACGGGTCCCATATGAAGAGAGATTAAAAAGACTGGGACTTTTCATCTTAGAAAAGGGGGGATATGATAGAGGTCTATAAAACTATGACTGGTGCAGAAAAGTAAAGGAAAAGTGACTTACTTGTTCCCATACAAACTAGGAGGGTCACCAAATGAAATTAATAGGCAGCAGGTTTAAAACAAACAAAAGAAAATTTTTGTTCATGAAGCACAGTCAACCTGTGGAACTCCTTGCTAGAGGATGTGGTGAAGACCAGGACTTTAACAGGGTTCAAAAAAGAGCTATATAAATTCATGGGGGTTAGGTCATTTGATACTTATTAGCCAGGCTGGGTAGGAATGGTTCGTAGCCTCTGTTTGTCTGGAAATGGATGACAGGGGAGGGCTCATGTGAGGATTCCCTGTTGTGATCTCTCCCTCTGGGACACCTGGCACCTCTCTCCGCTGGGTTAGGGAACACGTGCCGAAGCCCTAGCTGGTGGAGAGACCTGGACACACACGGCTCTCTTCACCTTCCTCCTCTGCGGGTCTACCGGTGCTCATACACCCCACAGGAGCACGAAGGCAGGCAGGCCCCAGCCCTCAGAGCTCCTGAGGTGCCTAACTCCTCCGGGCGTCGGTGCCGGCTACGTCTTGGAGGATCAGCCGAGGGCGTGGTTCGCCACTGGAGCGGGAAGGCGCCCTAGCACAGAGCCGGCCCGCGAGGACGTTTGCCGCGGTCTCACTCTAAAATAGCGGGGTGCGGTTCAGTTCTGTGAGAAAAACACCTCCGAGCCTCCTGCCTGTGAGACTGGGCTTTACGCTGTGAAGTAACGGCTTGCTCATTTGAAACCTGAATGAGATTAATCCCTGGCAGAAAGTGCTAGTGGAATTACTCACCCCTGTAACATCGCTAGCGACATGAGTCAGAGAGGTTAACTGCAAGGGGCTTCAGTCCCCTGGAGAACTGTCAATTTTTAGCTTGGCCTCAGAAGACCTTTCGGTAATTTTACTACGGTTCTGATCAGAACTGGCAGCTGGTTTTTTGCATGTGTGTTTACCACAATACCAGTAGCTACAGCCGACACTTTTCCCCGTGTTTATGCATCGTAATAGAGTCTGTTTTGGATTTAAACTACGGCTTCCTCACGCTATGACAATACGAAAAACCCCAGAGCACCGCACGCCAGCTACGGTGTGTGACTGGCGCCCCCCGGTGTCCGACAACGCCATCCCTTGGGCTAATCGGCCAATATTGCTTCAAAGGGAAGTTCTGCTCCCTAAGAACTGCAGATTTGGCCTTAGGCTGTTGACTTGCTCTTGAATGGTACAGAGATAATTGCAGGGAGGGGACATGTCGATCGTTTCCCCTAACTTCCTTTAGTTCAAAAGCTTCAGCGGGGGAGCCCAGTTAGTCTGTGCAGGATAAACTTTAAAAACAACCAATGGGTTGGTAGCACTTTACAGACTCACAAAACATGTAGATGGGATCATGAGGTTTTGTGGGCACAGCCCCCTTCTTCAGATGACCCATCGTGGCTCATGGCTATTGATGGACCTAATCTCCATGAATTTCTCTAACTATTTTTTGACCCGTTAAAATCCTGATCTTCACAACATCCTCTGGCAAGGAGTTCCACAGGTTGACTGAGCTGCATGAAGGAAAGCTTCCTTTTGTTGGTTTTAAGCCTGCTGCCTATTCCTTTCATTTGGTGCCCCCTAGTGCTTGTGTTCAGGAAGGAGTAAATCACTTCTTTTCCCATTTATTTATGCAGCAATGCTCTTGTCAGGCAGAGGTTTGTTTTTCCTACCTTCTCGTCCCCCCAGTGCTTGCTGTTGGCTGGAATCACACATGCATCACCTGGCCCGGGCACTCACCCTCCAACGGTTGTTCACCCGACTCCTTGGATCCACGACTAAGCATCACACTGGAGCAGAGAATCCACCACATTAGTGGCCAAGAGCCAAGTCTTCACCAGACCCTGATTCTTATGGACCCAGGAGAGCAGGCAGGCACACCAGTGTTACCGTCAGGAGCCCTTCCACGCGGCAGATCCCACGTGTCCACCAGGCTGCCGTCACGTTTTCCACTGGGACAAGAGCCACCAGGGTTCTCCCCAGACTGCGCACGCCGTGAGCAACAAGCGCACTCCTGAAGTGCTGCAGGAGCTGTGGGTCTTCCGACAGCTGACGGAAAGGGTTCATCAGTGCAAGGGGCTGTTCTGGGGATGCTCTCTCAGGGCTCCCGTGAGCCACTCTGCGTTGGGCAGGGCCCCGTCCTGGGGAGACGCAGCCCACGGCCTCACAAACACGCAGCAGAGACAGGGTGGGGAACCGGTTTTTAAAGTCGGGGGCTGCTGACCCACAGAAAAAAAAGCCAGTCGGGGGCTGCACGCAAAGGAGAAGAGGAAGAGGAAGAGAAGAGCCCAACCAAACCCCCACTAACATGGCCCTCGCCTGAGGAGCAGAAAGACCCTCCCCATATCCCCCTCGCCCACCAGAGCCTAGGGGGGCCAGGCTAGTAGACTTTCTGCGTTCCAGCCCCATGGAGGGATGGCGGGGGGTCTGGAGCACCAGCACGGGCTCCCCAATGCTGGGAAGGGAGCCCCAATCCTCAGGGCCCACATCCAGCCCTCGGTCCTTAGGTTCCCCATGCCTGGGCTAAGAGCTTGTGAGCGTTTCCCCTCACGTGTAACCCACAGGCCTGCTGGGTGTGGTGCACTGAGGCCGCTAAGCTCCAGAGGTCCCAGGTTCAATGCTGCCGTGGGCCTTACACACACGCTCTGGCTGAGTGCCCCACGGTGCAGCCCTTTTTCCTACCAGCACCCAGGAGATTTCAGATCACCGGAAGCGGAGGAGACAGGGCTATCGAGGCCTCTGGAGAGGGGGTGGCGCCGTCAGCAGGAGCGGATGGATCCTGCTGTGGTGAAACTCTCCCTGCAGGCGACAGCGCCGCTGAGGCACAGGTGGCTGTGGGAGAACAAAACGCGCTTGTGTTTCCAAACCAGGAGCCTTCGGCAGCTGAGGCACTCCGCGCTGGAGACCTCCGGCCAGGGACCGTGAGCGGGGAGAGTGAGGCACGCCCCAGGAAGTGCCAGTGGGGAACAGAAAGGGGCAGGGAGGTGGCTGTGATACCTGGGCCTACACGTGTACCCTGGTGCACGTGGCGTAAAGAGTGAGCGTGAGCTCATAAGGTGTCACGACAAAGCCACAACAAAGGCTGTGGGAAAGGCGCCCAAACCAGAGGGAAAGGCTGCCTGAGTCCATGCACAAAGGCCTCCTGCCTCACTCGAGGGCCATGTTAAGATCAGGCCAAGCAAACAAGAGAAGAAATCACGGGACCAAACTGGATGTGGCAGAAACCCGGCCTCACTCATGGACATAATAAGAAGGGGCTGGAGCTATTCCACCCGCTGCTCCCATCTGGGGGCCTTAAGGGAAGAAATTTGGGAGAAAATTTGGCTACTGGAGTGACGTTCCCATCATGGTTGTCACCCCTGCGGTCTCCTGGGACCAAGGGTCTGTCATCCTGATCCTGAGAGAGAGGCCTTGAGCCGACCGGGCCAGAGCGAGGGACCCAAATGACACTACCACACGACCGGGCATATGCGAATTTAGCCACCATGTCCCCACCCTCAGCAATCAGGTGTCCTTTTCTGTCCCTAGGTTCTCTCTTCCCTTGCCTGCTCCTCTCTGTCTAGGGGAGTCTGGCTGCGCTGGCCAGGACTGTATTTGGCAACACAGCTGTAAGCCTGAGAGAGCAGCTAATTGCAATGGCCTCAACTCACCAAGGAGGAGCCGACGAGACTGCGGGATCTGCCACCTGGGGTTATCCAGCCGCGAGGCTGCAAGGGAAAGTCAACACCAAAGATCGAAACTGGAATTTCTCGCTTTGCTGGTCTGTCTTCCCTCCCGGGTCGGTTTATCCTGTTTTGTCTTCCAGGAAATGGGACTGGACTTTAACAGCAGCTGTAGGTCACGGAGGAGCTTCCTCTCCTTCCCCCAAAGGGACAGGCAACCCTATTCCCAGCTTTTTAGCACCCTCTAAAAGGGCGTTTGCATGCGGCCCGCGGGTGGGAGCCAAATAAAAAAAAGTGGCCAATAGAATGGTCTTCCGCTGAGATGCATTTTAGTAGTGAAATTCCTGGACTGTCATAGCTCATTCAAAGTGCTGCCATACATGCGGAAATCGGGTAACTATGGCATTTTATTAATAGCAGCAGAACTGACTTCAATGGAGCCTGCGTCTTGCGCAGTCTTGCCTTAATCTTTGTATTCATGCCTGTCAGTGTGAAAGAAGCTATTTGCATAGATTTGGATATCTATTTGCATGTAGATGCAACCACACTTAAGTTGTGGCCTCAGCATGTGCCGTGAGTATCGTTGTGGCCCCCAGGGCTTCCAGAGTTGAGGAGCAGGCGAGCTTGACTGTCCCCAGCTCCAGCCGAAAGATTCTCGGACACGCCTGGCAGTTTTTCCGTTTAAAGTTTCTCTGCAGCTGACGGGTGCCGGGGCGGTGTTCAAACGCTCTCTTGCCCATTACGTCGCACTTCAAATGTCTGAACGGTTGTGCCTCCTTTTCTGCAGCTTTACTCCGTGCTCGAGAGGCTGCCGACTGGCGCACGCCGTGGGACCAAGCACGTTGCAGGGCCCGGACGCCAAACCGCGTTTAAGGATGAGCCGTGACGAGGTTGGGACCTTCGGTTCTTTGGGCCCATAGATTTCATCTAAATTAGTACGAGGGGGGCCAATGGGAAGCTCGCCTGGATGCCAATCACACAGGCTCTCTGCAGCGAAGACAACCGGGCGCGGAGAACAAGCAGCATGCAGTAAGACGGGTTACGAAGGACTCCGAATTATTAGCACACAGCAGAAGAATACACGAGTCTGGAACACATGGTCTCCCGATTCCCTGCTCAGCGTACTGCGTCCTCGGTCAAGGGGTATTTCAGCATGGCAGACTGTAGGGAAGGAGCCGCTCCGCCTGTGCCCTGCCAGGAGCAGCTGTGGGGTGTGGCCCGCCGAAGGGCGATGCTGGGGTGGAGCACGCGCGGTACCGACGGAACGCTCGGGGTTGGGGCAGCACACTAGGAGCAAGCTGTTCTGAGCCACTGCAAGCAGGAAATGGCGATTTTCAACATGCACTGCTCAGCCCCATCAGGGAGGGTCTTCGCGTGCCCATCCCAGGTACCTCCTTGAACCCTGGAATATTCCCCCGCCCAACTCGGAAGTCGTGCTGCAAACCACAGCGGAGAGTTCTGAAGAAGACAGTCTGAAGAATGTGTCTACTGGAGAGTGTGAGGCCACTTCCCTTCTTCCTACAGAACCTTTAACGGGCAGGTGCCCGGAACTACGACCGTCTATATTCGCTGTGCCTCGGATTGCCCTGCAGGCTGCAGGAGACGTCTCCGCACAATAAGACAGCATGGCAGAAGCGTCGGCGAACCTGTTGCGGGGAAGAGTTTCTAGTTCTAGACCTATCGCTGCATTCCAAGCCCTGGGCCCTTGGGGCAAACCAGCACGTTCTCAGCAGAGTCTGTTGCAGAAGAGTCCAACCAGACAAGCTCCCGAGAACGGTCCTACTTGCACTGAATAGAGCCAGTGCGGAGGGAGCCACCAGCTCCCCGCCCGTGGCTTTGGCTGCCTGGAAGCTGCAGCTATTCCCGCATCTTCTCATGCACGCACAGAAATTAAGTCCCATCACCTTTAACCTCAGCCAGCCCCAGGCCACCCCCAACCCTGACCTACCCTCTCGAGGCGGGATTTCTCAGACGAGCTCAGCATTGGTCCAGCCCTGCTCGCACTGAGCCACAGGCAGATACTCGGATGGGAACAGAGCGGCCGCCAGCACTCAGCAGCTTTGAGAACTTCATGCCATGTTTCCACAAAGCTCCAGTGTCGAGCGCTCGCCCTGCTGCGCTGATGCTGTTTAGCTGCATCAGAGAGGGCAAGACACCCACCAGCAAAAGCAGGGATGGAGCACGGCTCAGTCCCTCCACACTCCGGTATCCCAGTTAACCATGTGATGGCCAGTTAGCTACATCTCGCCCCTCTTACTTCACCGCCTGGACATCAGGTTTACAGCCAGCTGGGCCTGGGGTCTGTGTAGAGTCAGCACCACTCCACAGACCCCTTCCCCCACTGTCCCGGCCCAGGAACTCTGGAGAGGCCCCCGACTCGGGCACCCCTCAGCTCCTCTAGAAGGGGCGCTCGCCGGGGCCCAGGGTCGGGTGCTTGCCCGTCGCTCTGCAAGCGGACACGACCCTGATGGCGCCTTACGACTCCGCTGCCTCTTCACGGACGTCAGAAGACGAGGGTCCCGTCTGCTCTAGGGCCGTACCCAGAATCCAC